AAAACAAATTCAAAGTTCAACATGAAACTGAACGAAACCGAGAGGCAAGACGAGCAACACAACATCAGAAACAATCAAAACCATCATTAATGAGCCCACACAAGAAAAACAAATTTAGTTCAAATCCCATTTGCAGTAATCTTTTCACAACACTAAAATTCAAATCGAAATTCTCGATAATGAAACAAACTTGAATTTCGCATTAAACGCACAAGTATATTTCAATCTATAATCAAATGCGACCAAGAAAACAACATAATAATAAAAAATAAAAAATAAAAAATAAAAAACTCATAAATTCAATTTGTGAACAGAACTCGGGAAAGAGAAAAGACGAGGAGCAGAACTCAGGCATCTTTGAAGACAACAAACCCAGATCTGGGTTTCCTCTATTATAACCAAAATCACAGCAACCAAACTTGCAAAACCCAAATAAATTGGTTCGCAACTCCCTCAAGCTCGTGTGACAAAGGAACACAAATCTCGATTTCTTTTGTTCTATGGCACTTCGAGCTCGTGAGAGGCGTGGTTATGTGTCTTGGCTTCTAATCGCCTCAACCTCACATGAGGGAAAAGGGGAAAAGGGAGAGATGGAGATGATTGCAGAGGGGGCGACATTATTGGGGAGCTTTTTGAGTGAGGAGGTGAAGAGGCGATGGAGATGATTGCAGAAGGGGCAAAGAAGGAGATGGAGATGATTGTCGGAGGAGGCGAGGAGCAGGGGCTGGATTTTTGAGAGAAAAGAGAACAGCAGAACTGAGTTTTTTTTTTTGGAGGAAAACGACACCGTTTGGTCTGGGACTCCAAATTTTTTTTGGGAGGTGGGACTGACGCCCACTTTCCCGATATATTAATAGGTATCAAGTGTCAACTCAATCACAATATCATTAGTTTTGATATTTTCTTTCTTTTTTTTTTTTTTTGGATAATTCAGATGATGAAATATATAATAAGAAATAGCACTTTCATAATATTAATCTTTTTTCATTTGTTTTAATATTTAAATATCATATTCCTAATTTAGAAATTTAAATTTAAATTTTAACCACAAAATTGACAGCTTTTTTATAAGTATGAGTATTACACCAAAATAGTTGGCTTAATTTAATACATCATTTATTAACTATTGACATTTTTTCAATTTAGTCTAGGATCTTTATTTTTTTAAGGTCATCTACTAACCCTTAAAATTGTATCAATTTTGTCTACCTAACACAATTTTGTAAGGTAGATTGACAAAATCCACGTCATCGTTTACATGGTTCCGCAAAAGGCACTATACAAGTAGCACATAGCCGAAAATCAAAGGAAATCCCTGCCTCTTTGTTTCCCTAACCAAATTGACAAAAAATAATTAAATTGTAATCAAATCTAATTAAAACACTATTTAGGCCATGTGTTGCATACATGGCAACTTACGCGGCGCCACATAAACAATGATGTGGAGTTTCGTTAATCTTACTAATGAAATTGTATAAGGTAGATGAAATTGATATAATTTTGAGGTTAAATGTTGATTTTGGTCCTTTAACTTAAGGTTTTGTATAATTTTCATTTTTTAACTATTTTTTACACTTTTTTAATCCCTTAACTATGAAAAATCCACTTTTTTGGTTCTTTCATCAATTAATTTGTTAAATCTATCTGAATCTACACATTTTTAGTCTTTTAACTTCTAATATATGCACAAATTTTGTACTTTAACTTGAAGTTAAGAGATTAAAAATGTGTAGATTTAAATAGATTTAATGGATTAATTGACGAAAAACTAAAAAAATGTATTTTTCATATTTAAGAGATCAAAAATGTGCAAAAAAAAAGAGTTGAGGGACAAAAATTATATAAAATCTTAAAGTTAAGGAATCAAAATTAGCACTGAACCTAATTTTGAAAGCTAATAGATGTATTTGGAAGAAAATAAAGATTTTAAACTAAAGTCAAAAAAGGTCAATAGTTAGTGGATGGTTTGGCAAATTAAGCCAAAATAGTTTCATATAGTGACGAATATTGAAGACTTTTGGCCAGCTACGCAGCCATAGCTAATTATAGGAGGGTCAAATCATTAAATAGAAAATTATGGGATCAAGAAAGATATGTAACTGAAATATTTAAATATTTAAAAAAAATGGTATTTTGCACGCAGTCCAAACAGAGTGAAATACAAAACAACAGTCTATTAAAGAAAACACTCTGATTTTCCCAATTTGAGGGAGCTCCAGGACACCGCTAAATCGTTAAACGGTTAAACCTCCACTCCAGCCGCCTTGCTGTCTTTGAAGTACAATCAAAGTGGATTGAATTTTTTCATTTTTAACCAATTCAGTTTAATGGGCCTTCTACCCAATTGTGATTGTAAGCTTTAGGATTTGGACTTCAAAAACAGGACCTGGTTCAATAAATAAGCCCATTAAATCTTTTTTTTTTTTTCCTTAGATATGAATTCTAAAAAGGATGAAAACTTGTGTTGTATAACATCATCAAAATATAGCACAATATGATTTATTGTGTGAATTTTCCAACTAACGATCCCCAATTATTAACAATAAGCCTCGTACTTTTGCAGAGTACTGACCTGTCTTCTACTGGGAGGATCTTATAGATGTGTGTTGGAGGACCGGAACAAGCCAATTCTCTTTACAATGGCAAGGCTTGATGGTGTTAAGAACTTAACTGGACTTGTGGAACCATATGGAAAGAGTGTCAAGCTCTGCGAATTGGTTAACTTTGTTGTGGTCGGTGGAGACAGGAGAAAGGAGTTCAAGGGCTTGGAAGAGAAGGTGATTTGAAGATGTTAGAACTCATTAAAATACAAGCTGGAAGGGCAGTTCAGATTGTTTTTATCCCAAACGAGAAGCGTAAGGATTGGTGAACTTTACCGCTACATTTGGGATACCAAGGAAGTATTTGTGCAGCCTGCCTTTCGACTGACTGTTGTTGAGTCCATGACTTGTGGACTCCCTACATTCGCCAGAGGCAAAGCTCATGAGATCATATAGTTCATGGTAAATCGGGCTACCTTATTGATCCTTTCGATGGGGATCAAGCTGCTGAGATCCTTTGTTGACTTTGCAAGAAGTACAAGAAGGATCCAACTCACCCGGACAAAATCTCCCATGGTGGCTTGAAACGTATTGAGAAGTAAGGGCATTGGTACATTACTTGCAAGTAATTCCTCTTTCTTTCCCATTTCATTCCTCACTTTTTTCTCTATTTTAATTTGCTCAGTTAAGGGCACGGATATGGAGGAGATCGCAATCAGAAAGAACATCATGAACAAGAAAGATCTTCTAGGTATGGTCTCAACAAAATATGAATTTTTCTTAGAATATCAGTATGTGCCACAGTTTACTTAATTAATAGTAATCTCTTTTAATTAACTTTAATTTTTATAATTAATATTTTATTTTGACTTAAGAGCTGTTTAGTATAATGGTTTAAAACTAAAGGGTTAACAATTTCCTCTAGTCAATTGAATAATTAAAAGTGTTTGAATTATTAGTAATAATAATTATCAATTAT